GTGTTCAAATTAACTGCTATGTTGTCGATGCAGGAGTGGCCTCTCGTAGGTTGGGTTGTGGTGATGAAAAGTCCATAGGACTTAAGAAGATTGAGCAGGGCAGATCTCTTAGGGTCTTCTCCAATGAAGTTAACGTTAAAATCACCCATCAAAAGCGTAGCGAACGAGCTAACCTGAAGGCAAGTGAGCGCAGCGAACGAGCTCCAACCTAACGGTGAGTGAGCGTAGCGAACGAGCTCCAACCCAAAGGTGAGTGAGCGTAGCGAACAAACTTCAACCAGGACGTGATTGAGCCATGCGAACGAGATAATCTTGAAAATTAAGAAGTTAAACGGGGCAAAGCCCGCGGGTTACAGCTAGTAATCACATAATAATAACATCTATCTATCCATCTATCTATACTTATAAAAGGTAAAGCCCTCACTGACTCACTGACTCACTGACACACTCATCACTAATTCTCCCACTTCCCATTTACCTAGGAGGCTGAAATTTGGTACATTGATTCTTTAGGCATTAAATAGGAAAACTAAGTTGTTTTTATTCTGATCGGACTCTCGGGCTCCGCCCCAGTGGCTCTGGAGTTTCCCATGTTAGCCTTATGATTTTTCATATTTAAAAGGAATTAATGAATCTTAACAGCTGTTTCAATTAAACAAGTTGGTTCTGTTCTATGATGTTCAATTGCATTAAAGTTACAATGATTACCAACAGGGTGCAGCACTATTATTTATTTTAATTAATGACAAAAAGGTGAGTGAGCGTAGCGAACGAACTTCAACTTGGAGACGAGTTAGCGTAGCGAACGAGCTAACCTGAAGGCAAGTGAGCGCAGCGAACGAGCTCCAACCTAAAGGTGAGTGAGCGTAGCGAACGAACTTCAACCAGGACGTGATTGAGCCATGCGAACGAGATCATCTTGAAAATTAGGAAGTTAAACGGGGCAAAGCCCGCTGGTACAGCTAGTCATCTACTAAATCTATCTATACTATTATAAAGAAGTTGTGGTGTTTGTGTGTTTGTATGAGATAAACTATAAGCTACTGAACCGATTGGACTCAAATTGGACAAAAATCAAGCTACCGCTCCGAGGATTAGAACTACCCTCCACCTTCGATATTGAACTAGTATCTGCTCCACGGGCTTTCAAAATTCTGAGATGAGGGATTTTTAACTTATTTAATACGCAAGCAGGTTTTTCTGTGACATTTACTCTCTACTACTACTAAACCGATTGGCATGTTTTTGGTGTCATTTGGAAAGAGCGTAACGTGAAGTTGTGCAGGAAACTTTATTTTTAGGGAAATAATTAGGGTGAGGCCCTGGGGCCCTTTACAGGTTCATATTTCTCCATAAGATTCATGGGAAACAGACATTGTTATGTAACTCCAGCTGTTGTCAGAAATTAAAAATGAGAAGAAGAACATATGTTAATTGTAAACATTATGTAATTTACACAACTATGTGGTAGGTTTATTTATGCAATTGATTATTGAAATGAAGAAAAATTCTATAACCATAAGTCATAAAAATTATGTTATTGATATATTTTAATGTAAACAGTATGGTAATTACAATGTAGGGCATACATTTTTGCAAAAATTTGATTGCTATTTGTTTAAAAATTCAATCTACTTAACAAGTGTTTGGATTAGGCAGTATGGACTTGAGCTACATCTTCCCGTTGCGAATCACGGGCACAGGAGCTATAGTTCGGCCGCTTAGAAAACGACCTGCGAACTAATGCTAAACCAATGCTGGAGGAGGTCGCTTTTTTAAGCGGCCGAACTATAGTTCCGTTTATTCACTAATTGTAAATAAATTATAACGTAAAGATATAATTGACCGTTGGTAGGAAGATGATTACACTAAACAAGTCGCCAATTGTTTTCAAATAACGTATTATCTCGTCACATTATGGTATTTGGTAAGTGACGTTTTAGTACAATTTTAAAGAAACGTGTCCAATATCATTCAAAACAGTGATTTGGATTCTTTTGTCTAAAAATCTTTCAAAAAGTATAATCCGACGACTAAATAAAACAAATTAATACAAGACATAGAATAGTTTTATCAACAGCAGAAGGTTAGTTTGGTTCTCTTTTGTGATTACTACGTGAAATGAAAACAGTATTTAGGTTGGAAATTAAAGGACAATCGCGATCTCGCAACTACGGGAAAGTGAACTGACCTGAGTGACCCGACACCTAAATAACTGGAATGGCCTGTTGATGTGAAAGAAAAATCTAAGAAATTTCAGATTAAGTCCATTCGTAGAAACGTGCGAGGGGATTAACGGGACACCCCTGTATTCTGTTCCCTAATATTTCCTTTAATGTTCCCAGTACTGACTGTTATGGGTTTGTTTATATTAAACAATCGGCCGTAATAATTCGTGGTTCGTTCCTGATTTTTTAATAATGAGGCATATTGTGCTATTGTTCTAAATACATACGAGAGATATTCAAAAAGGCAAAAAGAAAGAAAATAGTTTTGAGGTAATAACAAGCCTATATTTTAATCAGGAAAGTGTTATCGTCATGCCAAATTTCAGCCTAATCCCGATGTGCCCAATGAATTGTTATTGAGTGATTGAACCCCAAACAAACACACACACATTCATTTGTAATATTAGTAAAGTAGCACTGTACTTCAACGTATGAATCAGGCCCTAACTTGAAATAAACGCTTAGGCCAGTTACATTTTTAACATCCAAATGTAATATTATTTCGCCTAACAGCGATAATCAGTTATTAAACGGAGGCAAATGGTACCAAAAGTCATTATCTTGCAAAAAAAAATTTTTTTTCAAACAAAAATCAGGTTAACAAAAATAAAGGACTTTGGCTTTGACTTTTTCAGGTTATAATCCTAAGTCAAATTTGTATCTAATCGTATAATGAAACTGCTTGATGCATAATTAAGGTTCAAATGAATCAGTAATATTGTTTTAACCTATGTAGATACAATATACTGCACATTGTGAAAATTGTTTAGTCGAGGATACATTTACACATAAACATCATCATTATTTAAATATTTAATTGGCCAACACAAATGTTGTGATTATTGTTTTGAAACTGCTACACATCCGATCATCAAGTTTAAGGTGTCGTTGGATAGGTCGTGACATGTAAATTTGTCAACAAAACACATTTGAAATTCCATCAGGGCTCTGCCCCAGTGGCCTTCAGCCAATTGAAAGTGTCAATATACGTGATTCAATTTATTTCATATCACGACGATTACTTAATATCAAACATTAGAAATGACAAAATAAATGTAAAAATAAACGGTATCAGCATTCTGAAACATACTTTCTCTCATAAGCTTGTTAACATCCTATATCATGGGAAAGCGGTGATAGTATATAGTTCAAAATCACAAAAGCTGAAATAACGTTTGGACCATAATTGTTACAGCAATGGGGTGTTGTACTATTTTTTTAAAACATAATTTGTTTATGTTTATAATCCATACTGGGTCTCTTCTAGTATTCGTGGTCTAATCACAGAATACCGTTAATTTCACCCGAATTACCTTTTGAATTCAAGTGAATACAATTTTCTTTGCGTCTTGCTTTCGCAATCACCTTTATAAAATGGCACAAGACTATCCCTGACTATCGCCGGTTTAAATGTATAAAATGCATGCTTTTCACACGTATGTTGCGTGCGCACGTGGTGGTAAGTGCGCATAAAAACTTATATATTTATACGCCTAATAAAAAAAAATTGTTTATTCACTGGCAATTAAGTAAAATAACTATTCTGTTTTTGTTTTTGGTATACGTTTTTATCATCTCATATTAATACGCGAGGACTGTGTTTTGTGAACACTACTCCTCCCTTATTCGTGGACAAATTTCAACGTTTAAGGTGTTAGTGTTAAAGGATTCGGACCAATTCGTAGTTTTGCATTAAGGTTTTAGAATTTGAAAGTTCCTACCCTTAAGGGCGTGAGACCCTTTCAAATGACGGATTTTCACCATGTTAATAATTGAATTACCTATCAATCTTTCTTCCGAAAATAAACTAAAATGTCCAGAAATGCTATTTAAGAGTTAGGTACATTAACTTTCTCTAAATTAACTGAATCAAAGTACAATATATTTAGTGCTACAGAATATAAATCCAACCGATTTATTTATTGATAAATCCAACCGCGAGGTGGTGGGTTGTCGAGGTGGCACGTTGTCGCCTATGAGCGAGGTGGCGCGTTGACGGCACCGAACACTGAGCGTACACGTCAACCCGCCACCTCGTAAAAGAGTGGTGGCGGGTTGACGGGGTGGCACGTTGTCGCTTACGTACGAGGTGGCGGGTTGCCGACATCGAACATGGAGCTTCACGACAACCCGCCACCTCTGATAAAAACTGGTGTTGGCGGGTTGTCGTGGTGGCATGTTGTCGTGGTGGCTCATTGACTTGAGTGTGTACGACAACCCACCACCTCGGAAAATTGTGTGGTGGTGGGTTGTCGTGGTGGCCTGTTGTCGAGGTGGCGGGTTGACCTGTACGTACACGTCAACCCACCACCTCGGTTTTTTTGTGGTGGCGGGTTGACGCCTCTGACCAAAACACCGAGGTGGCGGTTTGACGTGGTGGCGCATTGACAGCGACCCCACACATACACACATACAGCAACCACCTCTTTTTTATAATAGTATAGATAGATAAGTATAAGATATTATGTTTGATCATGTTTATAATAATTAGCCTTATATCTTTTTCTTTTACAGTACAAGGTGTATTGATTAAGCTGTAATGTTGTAATGGACCAGTGTTCAATAATCTATGACTCAATGTTGATTATTTATTTTAACTTCGTTTTTACTCTCTTTTACTAGTTACACTACTATTTTTACAGAACGTCGAGTCTATTTACCACCAGCTGTTTACTTGTTTACTTGTCAAAAAACAAGCAAGCAGAAGCATAGTAGACTAGCAGGTATTTATCTCCATCTCTGTCAGTCTCATAGCTCACCTATTCTATTCCGTTCTATTTCTCTTCTCTCTCAGCAAGTCATAAAATTGATAAGTTATAGAAAAAGTTTTTTACTGACTCTGTAATCAGTCCTGTTGATATGTAGTCTTTAATTTCTTCACTACATGAAGGGTGTATTTTCCTGCTAGGCCTATAAAACATATTCAACAATTTTCAAAGGACAAAGTAAGTATCAATATTAACTTACTAACTTATCAGGCCTGCTAGCCTATTCTAATTAGGACTACTAGCATATTCTAATTAGGCCTATTGGTTTTCAACACTATTTGTAAGTTAGGTCCACAAGTAGGCCTATTGATCCATAGTCCAAATCTAAGACCTTGACTAACCTAATTAACTTACTTACTTGCATAAATAGGCTAGCCTACTTGAATTCCACATCTTTGCCAGATCTATTCTGATAGATTTTGTCATAAACTTAAATGTTTAGAAAAATCCAAATTAAATACACACAATTTAGGCCTATAAGCTAGGATACTCATCTCAAGCCCCTCATGCTCATCATCCTCAAGTTCATTTAATTAAAGGGGGCCGAGACCGTTGAGAATATTAAAGCCTAAAATTTTGTTAGGGTCAGAATTCAATACTACTGGTACCGGTAAGTTAGGCCTTAGATATTTTAGTTCAAAGGTCTAGGTATCAAGCCTAAAACAGTAATTCTTTAGAATTTTAATATTTTGCAAGGTTTCCATCCTGCATAGAACGTACGATATTTATTTATTTTTGACGGCAAACACCATTTTTACAATAAATTTTTCATTGTGATAAATGTGACAAGGTAGGCCTACTTTTTTTACATGCTGTTGAATGTTGTCCAGATACATAAAGTGATAACTTGCATTCAAAGATGAATTTTCAACAAAAATGACGTATAATAACACTGAAGAGTGATTGGGTACTTTACTGTTAAAGGGAACATTCATTATTATTGATGAATTCTTTTTCGATAGGCCTATATCAACATTTAATTATTTTATTCGATAGCCTAAGTTATATTGATAGCCTACCTATTAACAAATTGCAAGTTATCAGCTGACAACTACGATAAATAAAAATATTGTTCAGTAGCAACAAACAATTAAAAAATAATTATATTGAAATGAAACTGATCTAAAATACTTAACCAAACTTGCTGTAACAATTTAATATTCCGTTTGATAGTCTATTCCCCATATGACTTCAAATAGAATTTTGAAACGGTAACTTAGCCTACAGCAAGTTTGGTTAGTTATAGAATAGATTCATTTCTTAATCCAATATAGGCTAGGCTATTATTTTTGCCTAAACAATATTAGTTCCTATTCTCTAAATACGAGCTATAACCATTATAACTCAATAATCCGGTTATTTAACCAAGTATAACTTAGACATATTTGCTATGTCTGTTTTTCTGTCTGTCTGTAATTTAAATGCGTTTGAAGATATTAAAACAGATGGAAGATGGAATATGGATCGTAAAGGAAAACAAAAATATTGATATATCGAAAATAAATTAATCGATTAAAATGAACGTTCCCCTTAACAGGAAAGTACCAGTGATTGTTTTAGGATCAAATAAGTTATCAATGCATAGCGATTTTGATTTATTTCTATATCTGCTTTGGTAATTTGGTAAATGTATGGTTACAATTAATTAAAAATTTAATTTTCATATGACTACTAACAATTTGTTGCAAGCTGAATTCAAAAATACCATCAGTTTATGTTGGAAAAATTCCCAAGTAACCGTCAAATTAAATAATAATAGGCATAAGAAACTTCAGTTTCATTCAGTAGGCCTGATTCAGATGGTGGTTTGGGTGAGTCCAAGTTCTAGCGGCGGCTAACACTTGAAAAGGAGGATTGTTTGTGGAGTGGAAACAGCTGTTAGTTGTTTAGATTCTATGCAAAATAAACAAAACCACACACGTCTACGTGGTCTGTCTGTGTGTGCCTGTCACAACTAAAATACTAAACCGATGCAGCCAAATTTAAGCACAAACTAAATGTCTCAAAATCAAATATAGGCCTATAATTTTCAATCAGGTTTTGTATGGATCTCAGTTGAAGATTAATTGTTTGTAAGATATAGTTTGGACTAAGAAATAGAAAAGGTTAAGAGTCTTCATCACCCTAGGTGTAGTTTTGTTTTGGGGGTATAGCCTTGGGGGGAAGGTAGTGTGGACGAGGGGTAGCGCAGGGTCATTATGCGCGCCTTTCTGAAAACATTGTGTAAACAAACTACTACTGAAGACGCGACCCGCACCTACGCACGCCCAGCGGCAAACTTATCTACACTTGGACATCGAGCACAAAACATCTCGTTACATCACTGGCTGTGAGGAGCCCTTGTGGCGAGCGCAACTAATTAAATGTTTGTTTGTTAATATAAATAATATGCGTAACATTATGCCTTGGCAAAATGGATATTTCCATAAATACAATGACCTTCAAAACTAGCTTTTAAATTTTTCTAGCGTTTGCCGTTGTTTAGAAAAATGCAATTAACATAATTAACAACAAAAACCTTTTAAAAGAATCAAAAATTCTGAAAACATACAAATTAATTCTTTACCGTATGTATGTATCTGTTTTGTATTAAAGTTTGATTAGGTTCTTACGTTTGGTTTACATTCTATGAATTTTCAAAGTCACGTCAATCATTTACATTTCGACTGTCTTATTAATTGTTATGGAGAGGCTAAAAATATTTATTTGCATATGATTACATAGAATAAAACTATGCAAATATTAATTTTATCCGTGTTTTTCTAAGTAGCTTAGCAACTTTTCTGTACAGCTCCAAACTTGAGTATCTAAACTGTAGTAAATTAAAAGTGAGATTGTAGGCAGAATCTGCCTGCACGACGCAACGTGGCGTGGCGGGAAGCCCCTCTCGTATAATTTAAATTACAACCAAACTACATCAGCTAAAATATAATTTTTTTAAAATTAACTCTTTAGCTTCAAAATCTAGGTACCGTTTTTTTAACTTAGTTGACCAAAAAATGAAAAAGTAGTTAGCCAACAAACAGTTCAAGTATACGGTTCAATTGTTTTGCTCTGTCGGTTTAGTTCTTATGAACTGGTCAAATCACTCGTGTTTCCACACTTCAACTACTGCAACACTGTGATTAATGATATGACTGTGGCTTTGGCAACAAAACTACAACGTGTACAAAATTATTGTGTTCGATTCTTGTTCAATCTTAGGCGTGATGACCATGTCACACCCTATTACATTAATAGAGAATGTCAGAAAAATACGAATACTTTCCATTACTCATTCAGTCATCAATCTTGGAATTCCAAATTATCTTGAAAAGAATTTTAAATTTTTGAATGGAAGAGGCGCAAGGGATACCTGCTCTGGCTCGTCCACGCTTCGCATTCCTCATCACAGAACAACTGTTTATAATAAATCATTTTGGCGCTGAAAGAATGTTACCTTGGCCGGATGGCCGTGGCTTGGCGGGATGGCGTGCGTTAGGCCTAGATGCAGCAGAGGGTGTATGTGTGTGTGACTGTATGTTAGGGAAGATGAATAGATTTATGCTATTTTATTACTAGTTATGTTACAAACTTTATTGTATTTTTTGTTATTATTTTGTTGTTATTATTAGTTTTTTAGAGGTTAACTGTAAGAAAGGACCATGAGGTCCTAAGTTCGCTTCAATAAAGAAGCATTTTCATTTAATTTAATTTTCATTTCAAAAATGCCTTGCCTCTACAGAGTTTGCCCATTTGTTGTACCAAGTTGCATAAAATGTAATATGTAGCAGTTAGTTGTTGATCAGAGTCCTGTGGACAGCGACAGGTTGCGACGTTTCGGTGACTCATCTGCCGTCTGAGCCAAGTTTTGTAAAAGGCTAGTAGCGCAGTAGCCTCCCTTCGGCAGACCGGCGTTTGGGACAAAACATGCTAATTTCGTCCCCCGTTTCGGACGCTGTTTTTCAACAGATTTTGTTGAAACTTGGTAAAAATGTTGTTGAATAGTTATACTTACGGCCCTTATACCTCGAAAAATTGAAAATGAAATAAAAACAGTTTTATCAATGTTTAAAAGTAACTAAATTTACGTTACTTTTAAGATTTTTTGGTACTTACTTATACAAATTATTATTTTGGATAAATCAGGTATGAGGGCTCTAGAACCAACCTTTATCTGTAGGGAAAAAAGTTTTAACATTGGATCTTTACTTATTCCATCAGGAGCGAGGGACGGCCAAGGCATGTTTTTAGAGTTTTTCGCAGGGGTGAAGAAGACTCTTAATCTCTAAAAAATGTTCTCCCGCTGAAAGCTTCAATCTCTTTTGGTTATTACAATCCTAAAAATAAGGTTCATTAGCTTATAACATTATGATATTATCAAATCAAGGACACCATATATCATTCATTATAATTCATTCCAATCTCTTTATCTCAATACTGTAGTTTAGTTTTTAAAGTGAATTAATTGTTTACATTTGATAAAAGTTTTGAATTGTTTACATTATTTGACATTATTTTTCTTACTGTTATGGCACAATAGTCTAATAATACACAATTGCAGACAGGAGACAAGGCAATGACCTATGCTGTGTGACACTGCTGATGATAATTTAGATAAACCATTTCACTGCTTAGAGTTAAGTTCCATTTCACAATATTCTGTTTTTTATGATCACGGTGCTGGGGGGGGGGGGGATGGTTTGTGTATTTTTCAAACCAATATTAGAAGTTTCAATAAAAACTCAGATGAGTTGCTAGTTTATTTAAATGATTTTATTTCTTCTCTAGATGTCATAGTGTTAACAGAGTGTTGGTTGGGGGAGGGAGGGGAGGGAACCGGTTTGGACGGATTTGACATGCACCAGACTGATACACACAAAAATAAAAATGACGGAGTCATTGTTTACACTAACAAACGACTTTCTGCTACTGCAACACAGGTCACTTTGGGAGATGTTTACGGGTTGAGTATAGCCATTGACTATATAACACTACACTAACGTAATAATAGGTAGTGTTATATAGTCAATGGTATAGCCTTCTCGTTTGATAAAAAACAAATGTTAATACTTGCTGTTTATCGTACCTTTGATAGTAACCCAGACAGTTTTGTGAATGAAATTGAAAATTATTTTAATAAAATCAATAAAAATGTAAACTGCATTTTTATGGGAGACATTAATTTTGACCTTATTAGACAAGATTGTATAACAGAAAAATATTTGGATTGTCTAATAGGAGGAGGATTTGTACAATGTATTGACAAACCTACAAGTGAGTGTCTGGGGTATCCGAGAGCTGCTTGGATCACATTTTTGTAAAATATAACGACGAATGCGATATTAAATCAGCTGTGATTCAAACGACCATCACTGATCACTACAGCACTGGCCTCACTATTACTAAACCCACTACAACACAACCTGCTTTGTCACAAGACACTACTCCACACTTGTACATAGACCATACGTCACTATCACACCTACTGACACATTCTAACTGGGCCCCTGTTTTAAACTCAAACAACATTAATTTTTGTTCTAGCCATTTTAGTAATATAATTGTTAATTGTATAAATTCTTCAAAGAAATTAGTTGGTAACAAATCAACAAGGCTCAATAAACTCAAACCATGGATAACCGTTGACTTAATCAGACAGATCAGATTTAGAGATAAAATCAGCAAAAGAGTTAAAAGACAACCCTTTAATTTAGAATTGAAACAATTTTACCATAATTTAAAGACAAATGTTAATACTAACTTAAAGCAAACCAAACGTAATTATTACCGATCAAAACTTAATGAAGCATCTAAAAATCCCAAGAAACTATGGGGATTAATCAATGAACTGGCTGGCAGGGTAAATATAAAAGAACCCTTTCCTATTGGAAAATATGTTTCTAGCTCGCAATCTCCGATTTCTACAACATACAAACAAGTAGCAGATGAGTTCAATGAATTTTTTTCTGGAGTAGGTAAATCACTCGCTGACGCAATTGATTATAGTGGGGACCCAGTTTTGAATGACTCTGACTACCGCCTTGATTGAGACTTTACGATTCAACCAATCACTGAACTAGATCTCCGACGCTATGTCTTCAGTTTAAGGGGAGGGTCTGCTCCGGGCTATGATGGTGTATCGGCCGACGTCATAAAAAATAATTTTAATATTTTGTGGGAGCCACTTTTACATATAGTCAACTTGAGTATCACCACAGGATCCTTCCCAGAATGTCTTAAATTAGCCAAAGTATTTCCTCTATACAAATCAAATGACATCACAAATAAAACTAATTTCCGACCAATCTCCTTGCTTAGTGTTTTTACTAAGGTGATTGAAAGAGTGGTGAAAGACCAATTAGTTACTTACTTACAAATCAATAACATACTCAGCGAGCGTCAGTACGGGTTTTGTCAGGACAAAAATATTTCAGATGCGTTGTTTGATATTAATAAAGAATTAAATTCTGCGATTTCAGAAAAAAACCATCCAGTATTAATTTTCCTTGATTTAAAAAAAGCTTTTGATTCTGTTGACCGTTCAATATTATTGAGAAAAATGGAATACATTGGTATTCGCGGAAACTCCCTTTCATGGTTCCAAAGCTACCTTTGTAACAGATCACAATTTGTTTCCATTAATGACATTACTAGTAATGTATTGCCAGTAGACTATGGTGTGGTCCAAGGCAGCAACCTTGGGCCAGTTTTATTCTTATTTATATGAATAATATTTCAAGACTAAAGATCTTTGGTAAAATCTTTTTATTTGCCGATGATAGCCTAATTTTCTTGCAAGGAAGGACCTGGCCCGAGGTGTATGACAGAGCCACACACGACCTCATGATAATTAAGAAGTGGTTAAATCAAAATGTTCTTACATTAAATGTTTCTAAGACAAAATTCATGCCTATATCTATTAGTAAGAGTACAGACTTCAATTTAGGCAATCTCACAATCCACGAATGTGACGATTATCAAAGTAATTCTTGTAGATGTGAAAGTATAGAAAAGGTCAACTCTTATAAATATCTAGGTGTATTGTTTGACGAACGATTAAAATGGATTCTCACGTTAATTATGTTAGAAATAAAATTAGGAAATTAATTTTTGCCTTCAAACACATGAGAGATATTTTGACTGTTAAGGAATTAAAAATGGCTTACTTTGCTTTTGTTCAATCATTACTTTCGTTTGGTATTATAGCTTGGGGTGGCTGTTATAGGAGTATCTTGGAACCATTAAATATTGCTCAAAAATTGATTTTAAAAATAGGATTTGGGAAATGCAAACGTTACCCGACTGACGCTCTATTTAAAGAAATAGGAGTCCTCACTGTTCGCCAGTTGTACGTAAAATCAATATTAATAAACATTCATACAAATTACAATAACATTTTTCAAAATATTTCACATTTATATAACACAAGATATTCTTCTAGAGTTGGAATCACCACAATTCAAGTGAATTATACTTTTTCTACGACTAATTCATACTATGTTTCACACTTAGTCTATCGTAACATATGCAACATTTTTAAGGATTTCAATTTTTTTGATTGTGACTCATTAAAGGTATTTAAATTCCTCGTCAATGATTTCCTATTCAGTTTAAATATCGACGAGGCCGACTCAATTATCACGGCGGACTACCGGCGCACTTGATCCGACCTTTGCACTGACTGACCTTGGCACTTTTGTTAGGACTGTCCGCAGTCGAATTTACCACTCTCCTCCACCTCACTGTACTCTTACCCTACAATCCACTCATCACTCTCTTCACTACCACCAAACTCTCACACACACACACACACCCTCCCTCCCTCTCTCTCCTGGCCAACACGAAAATCTATAAAGCGCTATCTTACCAGCACTGTGTTCATGGAAATACATTCACTTATTTAACTAATAATAATAACGACCTATTGTCTTTTTTTAATTGCCATTCCAAAATTCAACAATTTTTCTTTTTTCTATTTGACAGCAACTTAGCAGACGCACAGGTAGCACTGCCTATGTCTGCTAGTTCCTTTATTTTATTGTTATAATTTTTGGCTTTATTAAAACTCTTATAAAATATTTTAGTGACCAAAGTCTCTGTCTATTATACTTTATTTAGTTATAATCACAGCTTGTAGCCTATGTTTTTTGGAACAAACTATATTCATTCATTCATTCATTCAGGAATGCAATTCCAATCACAACACTAAAAAATTTAACTTAAACAAAATTCAGATCAGTGGTAAATCCTCCTGTTAAAAAACTGTATAGCTTGCTTGAGTTAATATTACAAAAATACTACTATCAATATCACTTAGGTGTCCGAGCCCCCAGGCCTAATCAATTAAAAGGAAAAAGCTTTGCAACCAGCAACTAAATTTAGTACCAACCTACCATTAGATTTAGTATTTTTTTTATCATTCCTGGGCTATAATAAATCAAAAAGTAGTTGAGCGCTGCAGCTTAGTTAATATTCCATCAAAGTTTCTTGACTCTGGTAAAAAAAGGATACATAGGTACACAATTTTATATATTCAAAATATCCTAAAGCAAATTTATTACTAAACTAATTTATTTTCAGGTTCCAAAATCGCTCATTGAGCCAAAGAACTGATGATTTGATGTTATAAGGTGAGTTTCATTCCATTCAATATACAAAGTATATATTGACTATTTGGAATCCTATTAAAAAACAATGAAGACACTTGATGAATATCTGTACTGTGTTTATAGCTCCTCTCTTGATTTGAAAATTCAGATAAAAATTGGTTCTCTGAAAGGAGTTCATCCGGTGCCAGAATATAACCAAATACTTGCAGATCCAATGATAAAATTTTCAGGACTTCATGAGAAATCGAGTGCAGATCTGATGGTAGAATGTCAGGTGTTTTCTGGTGGGAGGCCCATTTCACTCCCTGTGTACACGGCTCATAAAGCCCCCTCTCCTCCATTCTCAACTCGCTGTGATTGGATCACCCTTCCTCTCAAGTACAGTGACCTCCCTCGTGATGCTCTACTAGCCATCACACTGTACGACTGTGTGGGAGCTGCGTCTCTCAAGCCTGTCGGGGGAACAACTATATCATTCTTCAGCAAGCATGGAGTGTTCCGTCAGGGAATGATCGACTTGAGAGTGTGGCCAGACTGTGTGGCTGATGGCAGTCCACAAAGCTCCACTCCTGGTAAAGCTTGCCACGACGGTAAAAAACAGATTATAAAATTAGCTAAACTAGCAAAGAAACATCGAGACGGTCACTTGCCTGAAGTTGATTGGTTGGATAGGCTAGCCTTTTGTAAAATAGAACATTTCAAAGAGCTGGAGAAAAGAAGTTCTGATTACTTGTACCTGATGGTCGAGTTTCCTGAATTCACCTATCACGGAACTAAATACTCTGTGATATTTTATGAGCAGGATGGGGACGAGTTGTACCAGTTTAGAGACCATCCCGATATTGTTCTTGTGCCAGATTCTGAAGTATTGCAGGAGAATCTGGTAGAGAACAAACATCACAATCTGACCCGTAGTTTACATAGAGGAATATCTGATAAAGATGCAAAACCTAATGCAATAATTAGAGACAAACTGAATGCAATTGTTGCTTACCCACCAACAAAGCAACTGACTACAGAAGAACAGGATTACATTTGGAAGTATCGATTTTATTTGAGCACTCAGAAGCAAGCCTTAGCAAAATTCTTGTATTGTGTGAACTGGGAATTGACTGTAGAGGCTCGTCAAGCAGTAGATATGCTTCAGCAGTGGGCTCCGATGGCCGTGGAAGATTCTCTACAATTGTTGAGTCCAGCTTTCAATCACCCTGCAGTACGAAGATACGCCATCTCTAGGCTGCAACAGGCGTCAGATGATGATTTACTGCTATATCTACTCCAGCTAGTCCAAGCTCTCAAGTATGAAGACTTTTATGAAATTAATGAAGCCTATAAAAAAATGCAGATTAAAGATTCTTATTCGAGTGACGGTGAACAAAAGGAAATGTCCGTTTCTTGCATGAGCAAATCTCATGATTCCCTCAATAGCAAGAGCAACTCTGATCTGGAAAGTGAAGATAAGAATCTTGCTACATTTTTAATACAAAGAGCCTGCCACAACTGTACGTTAGCCAATTACTTTTATTGGTACCTGATTACAGAGTGCGAAGATCAAGAGGTGACTGTAGAACAAGAAACCAAAGTGAGAGAAATGTATCTTACAGTGATGCGTATGTTTCAAGAAACATTGCAAAATGGGCCTTTAGAATGGCAGAAGCAGCAGCAAGTACTGCAGAAACAGGTATTGCTGGTAGACGAACTAGTCAAATTGGTAAAGAGCGTGCAACGAGAAAACACCAACCGGAAAAAGAAAATTGAACAACTACAAATGCTGTTAGCTGACAGCGAAGCATTTAAAATTAATTTAGCTGATTTTGATCCAATGCCTTTCCCGTTAGATCCTCGCGTTTGTATTCGTGGTATAGTTCCAAATAATGCTATCCTGTTTAAATCTGCATTGATGCCATTGAGGCTGACCTTCAAAACGACAGAAGGATCTGAATATGTTGCGCTCTTTAAGCACGGGGATGACTTGCGCCAAGACCAGTTCGTCTTGCAAATAATAACCTTAATGGATAAACTGCTGCGTTCAGAGAATTTAGACTTGAGGCTCACACCTTACAGAGTATTAGCTACTGGAACAAAACACGGATTTGTTCAGTTCATAAATTCTTTGACAATTGCAGAAGTGTTGACGTCAGAAGGAAGCATTCAGAGTTTTCTGCGAAAGAGACATCCTAGTGAAAACAGTCCGTATGGCATCGCTCCAGATATAATGGACACTTACATCCGCAGCTGTGCCGGCTACTGCGTCATAACATACATCCTGGGAGTAGGTGACAGACATCTGGACAACCTCCTTCTGACCACCACAGGGAAACTGTTCCATATAGACTTTGGCTATATCTTGGGGCGCGATCCGAAACCTTTCCCTCCTCCCATGAAATTGAGCAAGGAAATGGTGGAGGCGATGGGTGGAACAGATTCAGAATATTACCACGAGTTCCGTAAGCTCTGCTACACTGCGTACCTGCACTTACGGAGAAACGCCAACGTGATACTCAACTTGTTCTCGCTGATGGTGAATGCCAATGTTCCAGACATAGCCCTAGAACCTGACAAGGCTCTCAAGAAAGTTCAAGACAAGCTGAGGCTGGACTTGGGAGATGAAGAAGCTGTCCAATACTTCAAACACTTGCTGGACATATCAGTAACTGCTGTCATGGCCATTCTAGTAGATCAGCTGCATAAGTTTGCACAGTACTGGAGGAACTAATGTTCAATTTTTCTAACTGATTCTAAACTTAAAATTCTAATGATATATATCCATACAAATTCATGTAAAAAATGTGTAGGAATATTGTAAATAGCATATCTGTTAATTTATTTTGTTAATACTCACCTAAGTAAGTTGCCTCAATAGTAGTGATTAAGTTAATTGATAATTGAGTGATTATTTTTTCATTTACATTTCTAGAAATCAGTCTACAGCACGAATACTAGAAGAGACACAGTATGGATCATAAACATTAACAAATTACTAGAGAACCCGTGCGGCTCAATGAGCCGCATAGTACGAAACATAACACCGAGGAGAGCATTATGCTTAAATTCAAGTATTTTTAGTTACATCTTAGAGTTGTTTGAAAACTTGTTAGAAAATTATTTTGAATAACTCTATTTGCGTCGTCAATGTTCACCTACATTCTTTCTGCTCTCAGTTTTTACTCATAACTTTTAATGTAAGCTAAACGTTCTGCTTCAATTTGAGTTAACATGTTGCAACAATGTTTTTCCAGCATTAAGAATTGATGAAAACGGTTGCCTTACTGATAACCCGTGTTAAGTAATTTAGTTGGGGTTTTTTAGTTTGTTAATTTTATTTGAGACATCCTCCTAAACCAACGGTTTTTTCGTATAGAATCTCGAAAAGTCTCCGGATTACCAACTGGACAGCCATAATCTGCTTTGAAAGCAGCAACACCATTGAAAGTTGGCTCAGTCTCAGTATATGCCTCGCATCAGAACTGTCTTACGTTGTTCAGTGGAGTTTCTGGGGTTCTCTTAATACCTGTCCCAAAGTTTTGAAAGTATGGATTCGTTTGTCTAAATAGGTTAGTTAGCTCTTGTAGCTATAAGACTTGGATAGCAATTGCAACTTTCTCTTTTTGAACAGCGTATATTATTTGCCTTAGAATCATAAAAATAAACTTGATTGTCCCTACTCGATCGTTGAATACATAAACACTAATTCCTTCACTTATGTTTGGTCTAATATTGCCACTAAAGCTTTCAATAGCAACTTCTTATTTTTGACTTGAAATGTCTGGATTGTGTTGGTGAATTTTCTACCTCTCTTTTTCTACTCTCCTCATACGCATAAGATATCTCATTATTAATTGTCTCATCCTCCCGTTTTCAATATTTCTTATTTGAACTTGAGGCGTTTTCTGTTCTTCCAACAAAACTGATTAACTGTTTAACTTGTATTGCAAACATTAATATTTACTCCCAAAAAGCTAATGAGTTTCTTTTTATAAACAGCTGTTTTTGTTTTTAAATTTGTTCTATGTATTTCTTATGGGGAAAACCCGACCTTTGAGAGGGTCTCACGCCCTTAAGAGTTGGCATTTAAAAATTCTAAAACCTTATTGCAAAACTGCATATTGAGACGAATTTTTTGACACCTTAAACGTTAAAATTGGTCCGCAAATAAGGGAGGAGTTGCGTTAACAAAAAACGGCTTCACGTATTATATATATAGATGTTACTTGCCAGAAAGTTATCATTATTCAACACTAGTTGGCCCGACAGACGTCGTCCTGTCCTAATATGGTTTTATGTCAATGCTCGTTCATTTTCAAGATGAGCTCATTTGCATGGCTCAATCACATCCTGGTGAAGCTCGTTTGCTACGCTTACTCACCTTTAGGTTGGAGCAATGCTATTGAACATCACAGAATCAAATTGTTTAGTTGAACCAGCTGTTAAGATTCTTTAATTCCATTTAAATGTGAGAGTACTCATAAGGTTAACATGGGAAACTCCAGAACCACTGGGGCGGAGCCCTTTTGACGGATCTGCACCAAACTTCACACAAACCACCATTGAATAATGCTTAATAATGCCTGAAAGTTTCATTACAATCTGTCAAGCGGTTTCGGAGTTCATAAAGGACAAACATACATTGGATTTTATATATATAGATTGCTTAACATTGCTTAACTGTCTAAACCATATGTTAATAGTAGTATAGGTTTCGGACCAGTTACGTTATTTTTTTATGCTTATGATCCATAGTTACCAGCTTCTGTTCTCATTTTGTAATCTAAAAATTTTTTATAACCTTATTTTTTACAGTATTTTATAATTTAATCAGTTTTAAAATGAAACAAAACGTTGTCCTTGTTTTCAGACATGATTTGAGGTATCTTTCCGTTGTTAATACTAAATACTTCCCTACTAGTCGTGATTTATTGTGTTGCCAAAAATAAATATTGGAGTAGGAAATATCAATTTGAATTTTTTACGCAAAGTTAACATTAATTTTTCATATGAATATTATATTAGGAGCTGTGGTGTTATTTCCTGTAAAATATCACTCTCCTAAGCTAACAAATAGTCTCGCAAATAACTGTAGATTGAGACGTTCTATTCCAAAACTCATTTATCAAAAAAGTTTTTGATTTTGAGATGTTGGCATCATTAATTTGGAGTATTAATGGATTTGTTGACTTTTAACATTAAACGTTTTCAAAACTCACTTTTTCCATTTCTAATTAAATGTAGAAAGTCAGGTTTCCAAAACTAACTTATTTTAAGGTCCTTGTTGTTCCATAATTCACTCATTACAACCTGCCTATCAAAATGCTTTATCTTCATCACATTTACCTGAAATTGCTGCTTTCCAAAACTCTCTCTTTCCATCTGGCCAATAAAGTTGCTTCAAATTGCCATGTGACTCTACTACTGCCAAAGAATGACATGCTAAAACTCACTCAATACAATGGTATCATGCTAAAACTCACTCTTTACAGGCGTGTCATGACAAAACTCACTCAGTACAATGGTATCATGCTAAAACTCACTCTTTACAGGCATGCCATGACAAAACTCACTCCTTACAGATTTTTAAGCTCAATTTCAGGCAAACAGCTTGTCGTAAATAGAAAATATAAATGTTTCAAAAGGTTCCAGAGATAATTTGCTACCAAAGTAACCCCCTAACAACTAAAAAACATTATAATTATAATCAAAAAACAAGTTTTTTTTAGTTAGTGTAAAGTTTGCTAAACTGCAATGAGTGAGTTTTGGAATGGAATGCCTCAATTGTATGTACTGTATATGTAAAGGTTTTTATTGATTTGTATAAAGTGTAGAATGTTGTTAGGTATAAATAAATAATGAAATGTAAATATAGTAATAAAAAGTTGAATTTTTATTATAACTGTAGATTTTAATTAAAACCCCTAATAATTAATATTTTCATTATTCATAAAATATTTATACCTTGGTTCCCTTGGTATCACAATTAATTGACATATTTACTCGTATTAATAGTTAAATCCATCCATAAATGTCAGCCTATTAAAAATTAAATTTTAGCCTATATATATTGCACTAAAACAAACTTAAACTTGTAGTGTCGGGAGACGGGAGTTATCCCATTTTAGTGATTTCAGTTATAAGAGTTCATTTTCATTTATCGTTATAAAAAATAATGATGGCTAGATTTACAGTATTTCTTTTAAAATGGTGAACCCCAGGACACACAGCTAGTGGGAATAAAATAGACAGTGTCAATAAAAAGTGTTTGTGTTTCTAGGTGTTATAAGTTCAAAAACAAAATTTTCCAGCAGATAAAGTTATTTTAAAAGTGTAACAAAGTATTGCAAGAAGAGCACATCTTCTACTAAAAACCTTTGCTTACCTTTTCTTACAGTACAAAAAGGTCTGTATCCAAAATATATCTTTCACTTGAACAACAAAGTAATCAATATTTTCAACTTGTCCAAATGGAGTGCGTAGTTCTAAATTCTAAACACTAACTAGGCACAAACATCCAGTAAAGTTTCCTAACTGCCCTGATTACTGTGCCTGTAATTAATTATAGATGCAGGTATTTTGTGTGAAGTTAGTAACAAGTAAAGCTATTGAATCAGGGTTAAATCTTCTCTTTCTACTATGACATTGATAAAACTGATCGACTAACTTAATTGGAAAAAGAAAATACAGAAGAGAAACTAAACACAAAATATTTAATCTCCTGGGAGGCTTTGTCAAGTGTAGAGAAAGTGATACAGGGTGTTTGGTATTTGTTATTCCAGTAACAGTGTGAGCGTGAGTCTCAATGATTATGTTGTTGCAGTTAGGCCTCGGCCACACGAGGCGGTTTAACCGCGCGAAGTTAAGCCGCGCAAAGTTAAGGGAATCGACAACACATTGAATCAAATGAGAGTGGCCACACGAGGCGAAGTTTAGCCGCATGTACGGTTGAGCCGCGCCATGTCGTCTCTCGACCGCGCAAAGTTAAGTTGGAGGGGATGACACACCTAGTCTTATGAGAGTGGCCACACGATACGGTTTGACCGCGCAACAGCCGCGCTTATTGGAGATATTCTTCGGACATTACCAGTGGTTTTTGAGTTTGTTTTGCGTGTTTGTTACCGCTTGTGTGGTGTTCAAACATTGTTTGATACAGACAAGCTTATTAAACTGGTCAAAGATGCTACAAACATACGGTAATAACCAAAAAACTCCGAACTATGGTTTCGCATGTGCTCGTAAAAGGTTTGGAACACAAATGGCTTTTCCGTTATGAAGGGATGGGCCCAATGATTTCTGTTAACATTTGGTTCCAGATAACCACACACTAATGCACAAACTAACATATGTGTTTCGTCCATGACTAAAAAGAGTGAACTGAACTATGTTTTAATAGAGTACTGAGACTGGGAAAACCCAACCGGAAGCGGTTCATCCGCCCCGTGTGGCCAGGCACTTTGCGCAGCTTAACTTCGCGCGAAGATAAGCCGCGCAGCTTAAATTCGCCTCGTGTGGCCGGGGCCTTATATAACCACGACAAGGTGTTCATTATTCATTAGCTTTGATCTGATGTGCATGTCTTTAGTCAGCGAGATTAAGATCAGCCAAGAAATGAAATACGAAATAGTTCCTCCGGGGTAGTACATCAAATCAGGAAAATGATTCTTAAAATTTATTCTTGGTCTCGGCTACAGTGAATTACCTTTGCCTAGTATTGCATAAGAGGAAACTCTCAATGTTATCAATATTTACTCTACCATTATCATTTGATTCATCAAGGCAATGGAACACGTGAAGTGTAAACACGTGGTTGCCTCTAGGTACTAACATCATTACTTTCATTAGAATGGCCCTTATTTTGAACTGTCCAACTTATTCAGAAGTTGTAGAAACAGACTGGTTAAGTTGAATAGTTGTTGGAAAGGGGGAATTTATACAATAGCACACACTATAGGTTGTTAATTTAATTTTTTTTTTTTTTAATTGACAACGGCTGGTTTACATAGATGGGATGTTGACTTAAGTATTGAAAAGTCAATAGCCTTTTCCACTTCCTGTATGCACTGTGGCATGCTCAGTAAGGACTGTGTGCTACCTGTGAGTCGTACCGAGGGTAGTAGATGCCCGGGGCGAGATTTTAATCTGTGCTTCCCCCCCCCCCAAAAAAGGGTATTTGGGGATTTTGCGCTAATATATCCATCGTCCAATATATAGATAATAGCTGATGTCTTGCAAGCAATTTATACACCCTTTACAGACAGAATTGAGATTAGACCTATTGAACTGTAAGAATGGCTCCATAGATGGTCAAAGTAAACATTTTTAGTCATGTTATGCCGTTGGTATTACTGCAGGTGTTGAACTGTAATCTACCGTAATCAAACAGATTAGTCTATTCCGCAAAGCATGTTTATCACCGAGAACGCAAAAATATTTGACAGTAGGATAAACTCCATATTTTGTATACCTACATTTACCTACATTTGCTATACAAGTTCATCCGTGGTGTTTTCCCGCAATACGGACACTTACGTGATGATTTCCTGCCATCGCAGCAACCTCCTAAAAACGGCAACACCCGTGATGATTTCCCATAATAGTGGCAACGCCCATAATGATTTACTGTGATGTTTTAAATCTGTGATCACCTTCAGCGATCGCAAAATTTGTGATGATTTACCGCAATCGCAGCAATTCAGTGATAATTACTTGGGATCGCAGCAACTTTGTTTACCTTCCCGATGATCATGACAACACCTCTAATTTATTCTCACGATAGTGGTATGTTATAACTGTGATGACAACACCTGCACAACTCCTGTGACAATAATTTGTGAATGCGGCCACATCTAGGGTCATCTTGTGGTCTTAGAAAAATTTGTGATAATCTACCCGTACGGCGGCATTGTCCAAGATTATTTCTTCCGATCGCGACAACATCCATAATTTATGATAGTTTCTCGCGATCACGATTTTCAACTAGGCAAACCGAGAAAAACCGACAATTTAGAGCGGATCTTTTCAGCAGTTTTCCAAATATTAAAATTTCCCAGTTCATTAAAAAATTCACGTACATTTCACAGATTTGTTTTTGTATAAAGCAACTGTGTGTGTCATACGGATATATTAGGAATTTGCCACCTAATTTATCAGTATTAAATTTAAAATATCTGTTTTACTGGGGTCTGGATTGATGAGGGTTTTATGTTACATTTACAATCATACTTTGTTTGAAAGGGTTTCACTTAATTTTTCAACTATACTCTTAAAAATCAGTTGCAGTGAAGGTTAAATAGGTACCCCTGCCACGGCAAACCTGCAGACTAAACAAATTTAATTTTGGCTGATTGGATTTTAGTACAAATATTTGTATAGAAAAGATTAATCATAGATATATATGTTCCATATTTAAATAACATTATACTTATTTAACGAGTACTTAGGTTCGCTGCTACAGAGAAGGGAAATGATGTTTTGTTGATAATATTGTATGAAATAAATAAATTTGCAAAATCTGCTCAAAATTATATCCATTAACAAGCAAACTGGGAGAGTTTTCCTTTTCTCAATAAGAATAACATTGAAATTTAAAATGTGCAGTTTTTTTTGGAATTTTCTCTGTAATTTAAATTGTACAACAAATGCTTTAATATACTGTCCGCGAGAGTTAAGAAGTCCTCTGAGTCCTGGCCTATTGTAAAAATGCAGGCACTTGCTACTTGAGGTCTAGGCGGGTCAAGCGGGTTAACTCATGTTCCACGCGGCAGTCAGGGCTCAACATCCACTGCGTTAAAACCAAAAGAGCACCTGCAAATACCGCGGGGCAACATACAAACATTGCTGCATTCTCTCTGGCTCAGAGGACTTCTTAACTCTCGCCTACAGTATCAAATTGTTTGTTTTTTAAGCTCTACACAATGGCTGTAATAGAAATTGGACACATTCATGTGTTTAAGGGTAAACATTTGACAAAAACCAAGTTCGGAAAAACTTTAAAATCCATAACACCCTATTCTTATGACTTGATCTCGATGGTTCGTAAACTCATTCTATTTTATCCAGTACTATTCACTCATTCTTAATTTACCCAATATCTTACCGAAATTACTCGAGTAATCGTTTTCACGCACACATATTTATATACAGGGTGAGTTTCTACTGACCGTGTTAACTTCGCCAGTAGGTTCTACTCACTAAAAGGAACAAAAAAGTTCCTATAAACCCATGTCCGATTTTCGACCGTTTGGCTGTTTTGGGGGATTTTGTGTTTTTCTTATTTTATTAGACTTTGCTCCACAATTTATGTAATAAAAACTTAACCAATTACTTTAGAGAGTTATAGTTATTATCATTGGAAAGAACATTAAATTTGCTATAAATCAAAGGTTTCATTCAACAATTATACCATTACATAGTCCACGTTATAACCAAAATAAAGTAAAAATGTCATTAAATTAATTAATTACGATAATTTTCATGGGCCTCCTTTGATACATAAACCTGCATTTATGCAATGTTGAAATGCATAAAAAACTTGGCATTTTAATAATCTTTCAAATGATATGCTATTCAATACTATTATTGATATAAACCAGTGAGAAATTACTAATAAACTACAATAAAACACGGTTTACAGATTTTGTTTTTGCACAGTTTTACTGTTAATAATAATTACTGTATTCATCATGTTGGCATAATCTTGATTGGTAAAAGGCTCCATATTTTAATAAATGTTGAAAAACTCTTAATTGACTTGGAAATATAAAGTTAAAACAGCAAATTACTCAACAAGGTATGTTCAAGCGGCTGAGTTATCTAGCTATAGATGACAAATCAATAAAAGCTGACTTATCAAGCACAAGGTAAAACTAATTACACAGCATTTAAGAA